TGAATCCGTCCGCTTCGTAGTCGCTGATTTACTACTCACTCCACTTGAACCTCCTGGAGAGGTTATATATCCTGCGGTTGATGCCTTGCACCGCCCACTGCTTCGTCTTTTTCGCTTGTGAGTACTTGGCACGCACTCGCCTCGTGTAACTGCTCACTCTGGTTGCATAAGTACTTAGATTCAAATATTACAAAAGTAGCCAAAGTGGCACACTTACATATTTTTACTCTGAAATCAACCTTCAAATTAGACTTTTTCACAAGTAAAATGTAGCCATTTTCTTGTTAGGTTCGGTTAAGTTCGTTATTCTCAGACCGAAGTCAACATGGCGGTGTCGGGAACGGAAGCTGCGACGACGGAGCCTGAGGAGCTCGAGGGAGAGCCGCGCTGGTCCAGCATCCGCTATGCGCCGCATCCGTGTCCTGCGCAATGGTCGCGCGCTATTGACGAGAAACTGATGCTGCTGGTGACGCAGTCCACAGCCAGTGGAGAGAGGTTCCCTGTCGGTGTCAATTGTGCGTACAACTTCGGATTTGCACCTATTTTACTGTTCCCAATGCGTTGTGCATTGCACCGTACAGCTCATTGTGTAGATGAGTGAGTTGTGAGTCTGACACGCATATTCTGGTGAATTTTGGACCGATATTGATAGGGCTGGAAGTTTCTCGAGTGGTGCGGCGTTCTCCTGTAGACTGCGTGAAGCGCTACGCCTTTCTACACGATGCTCGAGAGCGATATAGCTCTCTGGAAGGAGAGCATAAAGTGGAGATGAAAACAGAAGCAGAAGAGGAGACTGGAAGGCTCGAAGAGGAGATAGAGGGAGCGCTGTTAGACGAGTATCTGGAGGAGCAAACGTCGCTCAGCGACTTTGGGACGCCCGTAGCCTCGCCAAAGCTGCAGTCGCTCGACACATCTGGAGAATTTGTGGGGAGCGCACCGACATCTCCCCGATCTCCTCCACCGTTTGCAGTGGCAAGACCTACTGTTGTTAGGCAACCAGGAGCTGTTATGCCTGGAGGAAGTCCGTTCAGATGGGAGAGTCTGGTGAATGACCCGAATTATACAGCGCCCGTACTCAACTCGCCGCCGAGTCTACGTCACAAACAGAGCTTTCAAGGTCGTTTTGGACTCGAAGACGACGAAGCCAAAGTGCTGTCTTCGGCGTCGTCACCAAGACTGTCTCCGCGAGGATTCATTTCACCCCCAGAATCACAGGTACACTTTCCAGTCTTTAGCGTTTGGGTGATCTTCAGTAAGGGTCATAATTTATCATGCTTTGGGTCCTATACAGGCTGAGATTGGCGAAATGGGAGCTGATCCAAACTACTCTGCTACAGTTCTCACGCATGCTTTCAAGGGGCTGAAATTGGGGGTACCGCTCGGTTCACCACCGTTAGGTTCGCCTCTCATCGGCTCTCCTCGCCTAAGTCGAAAGATTTCCAACTCAGGTAACGACAGTTATGTATACGTTGGCTCTGGGTATCTGATTGATCCTTCTTGTGTCCAGAGTACCCCTTCTTGAAGGAAGAAGACATGTCTGCTCGTCAGTCTGCAGCGAGCAGCGCAAACAGTTTCCGTGGTGTTGGAGGAGCGGACGCTCGAGCTGCAGCAGCTCCATTTTTGAATGACGCGTACGGGTCGGGTAATGCCACAGCTGGAGATCTACAGCGCCAAATGAATGCGCAC